AGCTTTAATCTACTGAGGTGTTTGTTGAGTATACAGTGTCAAAAATGAAGAAGAAAAAATTTTAACAGAACGTCAACGGTTTTTGTAGACGTATCTGTTTAAAAAATAGTGTTCTCGAATAATTGCATTTAGATATTTTAAATAGTTTTTTTCTTTGTTTTTTGTATTTTTTTTTTGCTTCCGACGACGGAAAGAGATATACTTTCCGAAACGTTAAGCATTTTTTGTCCGTTAAGCAAATTTGTTCATTAGTAAGCCGCTGCTGACATTTAGTCTCCGTTGAATTAACGCAGCAGTGTTTACAAAAAATAACTATTTTGTTCTGTAGATTTTCTTGCAGTGGCGAAATACCCGTAGGACTTTTATGAATACTTTTATCCTCTTGTTAGTTTTCAGTTGAAAATCCAGCATCCAGCATTCTTTCCATAAATAATAGTAACATTAATATACATTAATATTAATACAGTAAGAGTGTATAAAAATTTCAAAAATTATTTCAAACTTTTTATCTAAATTAAACCGGTGTACAACAACCATCCACAAAAATAAAATTTTATCTCATTTTTATGTCTGAAAATTCAGGTCTGAGTGCGACCTGTTTATCTTGGAAACGCACGAAAGTAAATATTTTGTTTATTACTCTTTGGTGCGTATGTTGATGTTTTCGTGTGGGCGTACGTAATTGGTCCTGTTGGCCGTGTAAAGCGCTTAACTTCGTTATATCGAAGATTATGTTATCTACCTGGGTCTCTTTGATCGTAAAAGAGAACACAATATGACCCAGAACAACAAAACATACGTATCTGTATCAATCTCGTAATGATCGTAAAGGTAAACACTAAATCAGTTTCTTTTAAATTTTATGCATCATTACTTTTAGATGGCCATAATTCTGTAATATAAATCGCTCACCGGCGACAATAGTGGCACAAAGTAATAATAGAAAATTAAAGTTTATCGACAATTTCTTTTTAGTTTTTCGGTCTTGTAAAGAGTGAACCATGTGTATTACCTATTTTTGATTTTTAAACTTGATTGTTGGTAAGATGTGCCACTATTGACTTAAGCATTAATTGCAGTTTTGGCCTATTTTTGTCAAAATAATATGGCACATCTAGACATTGCAATAAAAAATATTTACTAAAATTGCTATAAAATTTAAAAGAAACAAAAGGTTTAAAACAAACTTTATCATTATATAGAATACAAAAACACAAACATTTTTATAACACAAATACTACTTCAACCAACAATATTTAAAAATTTGAGCACCAAAGTTTATTTTATATTGGCACAACCCAAAAGTTTAAGTTAAAAATTCAGGCAATATTGACACAACGGAAAATATAAATTAAAATGTTTAACCTATACTGACATAAGTCAAAATACGTCACTATTCTTAGTAGGTACATCAAAAATAAAATGGTTCACCAAAACTCCTGCTATACCGGCACAACACAGAAATGCCACTATCGTCGGCACAGAGCGATAGATTCCTTTCGAAAGTTGGGGGTGGTTGGGGGCGTACTGAATAATGTGCCACTATCGATCTGGCTTTTAGTAACGATTTACATTGAACTATAGTGACACTTACGCCACCTCTGAAAAACTATTAGAACTAAATATGTGCCAGTTTTGTTAAAAGAAAGACTGATTATTTCGCTTTTTGATACAGCCCTTAGTACATTTTTCGCGCTGAGGATTCAGATGGTAGATCTGTTGTAAAAAAGTTCAAGTTGCCACATTTATTTATTTATTGACAATGTCATTCGTTTTGATACTTTAGTTTTGTATTACGAGTTTTTGGTTAAAATAAATAGTGTTGTGATACTTTCAGCTTAAAAATGTTTACTAGTAGACCTTGCAGTCGAACATTGTTCTTTTTAGAACCTCTTTTAGTGCGAAGTGTACAAGATAGCTTAATAGCCGTAAAAAACTCATCGCAACTTTATTAGAATATTTTGAACTGGAAAGCGGTAGTAATGTCTTTATGTTAAGTGTTGTTCAGAAGGTGAGTTTTGTTGATGTAAATAATAACTGTTTTTATATATTTATAATTCATTTAATTTTGTTTTCTCAAATATTTTGATTAACAGAAAATATGTAAAAGTGGGCAACACTGTACCGGTCAAGCTTAACCACGTGACTAAAAGTTTATTTGATTGTATGTTAGTAGGTTTTAAAAGTTTAATGTTTTCTAATAAGTTATAAGATTTAATTATGCAGTATCTGCCAGAAAGTTTGCAACAAATACAAAAATTGAATTTTCGAGAAACTTTTACTTTTTTTAATGGGGAGCCAAACCTATCGTGGTCAGAACTTCTGCTCAAGCTCTATGCTTCTCAACTGCTGAATATGCCTGCCCAGTGTGGTGTAGATCTGCCCATGCAAAAAAGGTGAACATCAGTCTAAATGAAACATGCAGAATAGTGACAGGTTGTATGACCCACCCCCTTAGAAAACCTTTACAAGGCCGCAGGTTTTACAAGCCCCGATGTATGCAGAAAAGCTCATGAACGTACTGAGAAGCTAAAACAAACCTTTGATGCTCGTCACTCAATCTTTGGCCAAGAGTGTGGCCAAGGTAGACTTAAATCCAGACGCCGTTTCTTAAGCCACCTCCTGGATGAACCTCCCTCCAACTACCCACTTAGAGAGGACCCACCAAACGGTGTTTCTAGCGACTGGAAAACCTGGAGAATGCTCAACCGTATCAGAACCAATATCAGAACTGGGGTGTCTTCAGTAAAATCCAATTTGATTAAATGGGGTTTGCTCTACAGAAATGACGACAAATACGACTGCGGCGCCTTTCAGGACATGGAACATCTTCTTCAATGTCCTGTGTACCCCCACAGATGTATCCTCTATGACCTATGGCTGGCTAAACGGGAAGCATTGGACGTAACCCATTATTGGGCTAATAAACTACAATCCCGATTGGAAAAAGTAAAAAAAGAGTTTCGAGAAAAAAAAAGTCATGCCGAATCCAGGACGCGCGTTTCGCTAATCATTAAAACCATTAAACAGTTTTTAACACAGCCATGGCAGTCTAGATTGAAATTTAAAATTCAATTTTGTTTTAAGCAAAAATGTCAAAAGTTGACATATGATATGTCATTCTATTTAGATTGTCATTTTCTATCGAATAAAGTAAAAAATACCGCGGGTGCCATTTAAAAATCAAAAGTTATAGTAATTTCCGGTGAAACAGGAAGTGGCCGAAAAGAATTGAATTCTTCAATCAGTCCTAATTTATGTCATATACTAGCATACCAAATCTCATTTATCTAATAAAATAAAAAAGTTTTAGGGGTTGTTAGTAGACCTGTTCGGTGTTGAGATTTGAACACCGGTGTTAGGTGTTGATGACCACCAGTGTTTCAGTTGGCGTACCGGTGTCAACACCGACACCGGTGTTTATCTCGACACCGGTGTTCATCTACAACACCGGTGTTTATCTTGACACCGGTGTTTATCTTGACACCGGTGTTTGTCTCAACACCGATGTTTATTTCAACACCGGTATCGCGATGAACACCGGTGTAGAGATCAACACCTGTGTCGGTGTCGATGTCGATGATGCCGTTTGTTTTTTTTTGTTTTTTTAACGTAATATTTTTTAGTTTATCTTACAGCTACGAATTTTTGTTTCTTTATGTTTTGTTTTGTTTTCTATTTGTTTTTGATTGAACAATATTTTACTTTATAGTTGTTTATCTGACGCTTCCACTTTATTTTAGTAATTAGTCTGCAAAAAAAAATATATTTAAATTTGAAAGCTTTAAGTTAAAGTCGGTGCGCTTTAATAAACGATAACAATAAGCAACGATACGACATTATTATTATCAGGTTTATTTTGAACTTATTAATTAACGTTATTTCTTCTTTAATCCGTTTACCAACACCGGTGTCGATATCAAAACCGGTGTCGTAGTCAAAACCGGTATCGAGATGAACACCGCGGTGTCCAGGCCAACACCGGTGTCGAGATGAACACCAGTGTCCAGACCAACATCGGTGTCGGTATCAACACCGGTGTCGGTGTCGACACCGGAACACCGGATAGCCTATATTTGGCCACCGGTGTCAGCCCAACACCGGTGTTAAAAGAGTGTTCCGTGTTTGGAACAGACCTAGTTGGTAGGTTAGGTTATATCTTTATATATTTAACCATTATCGCAGTGTGGAAAAGACAAGAATCTCGATAAGACTTTTATTAGTATTTTATCAATAAGACAGTATTTTAGAAAAGTCCAGATCTAATGAAAGTCTCGTATAGTACATCTCGTAAATGCTTTGAAAATGTCATATACAATATTCCAATTAATATGGGGCATTCCAATTCTATTTAAATAAATTGAAGGGTATTTGTAAAAGAAATCAGAATTTTGCTTGAACCCTTTCAAACATAAAAAATAAAACCAGGTAACTTGCTAGGAAATTATTGCAATTACTTACGATCGAATAACAACTATACGATCGAAAAAAACGGCGTCAAAGACGGGGAATGACAATTAATGATAATTTTGGCGAGGCGTTTATAAGCCCTAGGCGTTAGTTTTTAAGCCCTAGGCGTTATTCACTTAGCTCATACCCTTCTTCATTTCTTATTATATGTCATACAGCCAGTTAACCTTAAGAAGGTTGTAAACGTTCTATCCTTTTTTAATCTTTCTGTTTTTAATAGTAATTTTTGACAATTTTTATGTCAATTTTTAGTAAATGACATCTAGGATTGACATCGCCAAAATAATCATCGACTGTAATTTTTCAGTCCTCTTTGATTCCGTTTTTATCGATCATACGGTAATACTATTGCAATTTTACGCCTGTGTTGGTTATAACCGAAAATCATCACTAAATCCATCTTCCTTTTCAATCTTCGACCGCTCCGAAGGTAAACAAATCTCGGGGGAGGCCATGTACGATATCTAGACGGCGAAAGCGCGCGAGAACTGGAGCTTTTGACTTTTTGGCGTTTCTAAGTTCAACTTGGACGCGGTTTAGTCGCGGAAAAGTCGGCGGCCGGCGCGAGATCGTAGACGGCCAGACGACGGCGCTAGAGAAAAAAAACAGCGAAAAATCGGACGCGGAAACAAAAGAAAACAAAACAATTGCAGCCACTGAATTGTGCCGGATATATTGTGAAGTTTGATATTGAAAATTTCAGTGAAGTTTTTTCGTGAATCAAAAGTTTTTTACCAATTTCGGTGTAACATTTACATAGATGTAAAATTTACATGGTAGGTAAGTCAATAATTGATATTAGGTACATAATGTAGAAGATCATGGAAAAAAATTATTTCAGTTGATATTCGATCAGTTGTCCCTATCAAGTCGTATTTTGTACTATCAACTCAAAGCTAAAATATGGTTTTAATCACTATATCAATTGTATATAAAATAATACCGTTCGATCGAAAAAAAAACGGCGTCAGCGATGGCTATGAAATGAAGATCGCTGTAAAAGATATTATGTTTTTTTAATTAAAAAGTATTTTCAAAAAAAACTCATAGACGTGTTTCGGGGATCCAAATATATCACTCTTAAAAATAATAGACACTTATTTGAAAACAGTTGAAGGGTAAGAGAAAAAACCGACGATGTTACAAAACTGACTTTTACAGAAAAAAACTGATTTAAAGTTGCCAAATACCATGTTACAGGTACAAAAATACATTACTCTATGCGTAGTAATAATTACAATTTAGCATGAGTTTCAGACTTGGTATTCTCAGTAGATAAACTTTAAAAATTCCTATAAAATGGACATCGTCGGTTTTTTTCCTTACCCTTTAGTTATCAATTAATAATCACCTATTAATATGGGCGCATTTTAAATTTTTTAGGCTGTCTGAAATTTAGAAGGGTCCCTCATTTGTATTTATTCAGTCAGATTTTTTGGTTTCACAACCGACACTAAAAAATTCAATAATTTGATTTAAATAAAAAAAAATGATTTCAAATAAATATAATGGCAAACAAATATTAATTTGATTTTTTAGAAACGCAATTATATCATTCTTTGTTGAGATACCTTGCTCTATATAATACAGAGTGTCCCAGAAATAAATACAAATATTTTAACTGGTAGTATAGTTCGAACCAGGGGCGGATACAGGAATTTATTTTAGGGGGGGCCCAAAATAAAAAGCAATGTCGAATATGCTTTTTAGGGCGCCATTTTTAACCCTAATATTTTACAAAATTAACAGCTTTTAGGGGGGGCCCAGGCCCCATGGCCCCCCTCTGTATCCGCCAATGGTTCGAACCCCAGATGCCCAATTTTCTGGCGAAAAAAAATTTTGAAAATTTTATATTTTTCTTGACATTTTCGGGAAAATGGTAAAAAACTTTTGAGTGCCGCTTGTTTATAATCATCGAAGTTTATAATCATCTGCTGATGATGCTAACATGGTTAGCGAAACGCGCGTCCAGTGTAAAAGTAAAAGTGTTTTGGTGTATTGTAGTGATTTAGTGTTTTTATTTTGCTGTGTAACACCAAAGGTTCCAACCCTCAACCGTGATCAGATATTATGTTGCAATAATAAAAATAATATTACCTTATGCAGAGTGTTCAAAAATATATATTAAATAATTACTAGCTTTCAACGGCAATAACTTCTTTAATTTAAATGGAACACCCTGTATATTTTACGTGAATCAGATGCGCAATTTCATTGTCTATGAAATTGTATTATACCATTTTTTACCTATTTTTTCAAGTTTTCGTAGAAAATGCATTTTCTTATTATTTAGGCCTCATTTATCACTATACCCATGGAATTTTTAGATTTTTTTTTTAAAGCAACATAGTACAAAATATACAGATGGTAAAAATAATTATATTGCGAGCCCATTTGTTTACAAAAAGAAAACTATTTAAATCTTTGTAAAAGAGTATACCAATTATATTACTAATTATTAATATATTCCACATATTATTTCCGCCTAACAATTAATTAATTACATACTTAATTGTTTTAATTATTAAATTATTCTAAATAAATGTGGATTTGGCTCAAAAATCAATACCATAATAAGAATAAGTTATGAAAATGAACGTCTCTGTTGTTATAAATAAGCATTCGTCAAAAAATGAAATAAAATTTATAAGGCGCTACATTTTACCACACTGTCTAATACATATACAAAATTCAGTTTTTTAGTATTTGGAGGAATTATTATTAATCAATGTAAACAGTTATTTAATGGAGTTTAAATACTGGGATCTTATTAATTGGTGCTATTTAACAAATATTTAAACAGTTTTTCTTATTTTTTTTTAATGAAATAAGCGAATTATATCGACAATATTAGTATCTGGTACTCTTTGAAATATTGTGATTTTAGACTATTTTTAAAAATATTCTAAAATGTCAATATTCCATGGGTAATAAATAATGGATAAATGAGGTCTAAATTATAAGAAAATGCTACTTCTACGAAAACTTGAAGAGATAGGCAAAAACTGGTATAATACAATATGATAGACAATTAAATTATGCATCTGATTCGCGTAAAATATACAGGGTGTCCCATTTAAGTTAAACAAGTTATTGCCGTTTGAAGCTAGTAATTATTTAATATAAATTTTTAGACACCCTGTATAAGGTAGTATTTTGTTTATTATTGCAACTCTGGGGTGTTTGACTATGGGACACTCTGTATCTTTTAAAAATATTTTCAAATTGTAGCTCTAATAGTCCTTCAACAAACCCAAAACTTACAATTTGTAAAAATCTAATCGTTTAGCTACAATACTCCGTGTCGTATGTGGTGAACAACCCTGTAGATTTGATAGCTCTTTGGATGAAAATTTAGCAGTATTTTATCCAGCATATCTCTACGCAAACATGTGCACACCCATATGTCTATTAAACTCAACATCACAATTATAACTTTTAGCACAATTTTATTTTCATTTTAGGCGGCGCGCGGCGCGGCGGCGCAACGGTACGGTCTATTAGCTCATAATATAAATATTCCGAAATTGACATTCCACCAAGTCGCACAGTTTTGCCCTACCGATGAGTCCAACGATGGGTAGCTAATGATACTGAATAAATCAAATCTTTTTTTTTTCATCTTCTTTTCGAATTTTTTGAATCAGTGCTCTCGCCCCCTCCCCCTAGATATGTAAATAGTCAACGTTTGACCTACATCTAAACAGATCAACTGATTTTGAATTTCAGGTTATCCAATTCATTTGAGATTTTACTCAAACCAGTAAACCTCTGACAAAACTAAAAAACAGGCAAATATAAGGCAAGCCTGTAGAAATTATTTTATTATTCAAGTAGAATTATCAATTTTTTGGTTTGAAAGTTCTCAAAAAATATTCCTAAATTATTCAGATGGCATAATATGAATGTATTTTGTGCCAAATACACGTCGGTAAGTCGTAGTGCAGTGATATCAAGAAAGTGTAGTGTTATCAAGAATCACAGTAAAATGAAGTGTTGTTAAGTGCAGAGTTGCGTTAAGAATCACCCTGTGTAATTTAAAATTCCTTCATTATTTCCTAAGCGAGACTTTATTTGTACAATGAAAGTGTCTTCTTGATATTTTATTTCAATTTTAATTGAAATAGCTTATACTGGTATTAAGCAACATTCATCTATATTTTTTTAGCAATCTTCTCTCATTTTTTATAAAACCTGTTTGGAAATCATCCATCAAAATCTAATCTTGCTATTTTAAAATAATAAAGAATTTTAAATTAAATGACTATCGGAAGCAAAAAACACAATGAACAAATAAAAAAACTATCTAAAATATCCAAATACTCTGATGTGCGTTTAGCTCACTCTATGTTAGCACATCTTCTACAAAAAAAAGACCTGTTACTAAAAGACTCAGCACTTCCAAAAATATGCAAATATCTGACAATGATTCAATAATAACCTGAATTAAAATGATTCAGTAACAATTCAGACAATGATTCAATTAATACAGACTCAGTTTATTCTGGTTTTATTAAATTTAATATTCCAAAATTTAACATAAAACTAAACGATATTGTTCAAAAAATTGGCTTCATGTCTCGTCTTATGAATAATAAAGAATGTGCGTATGGCTAAAAAAAAATAACTTAAGAGCTTTAAACAGGGTGCAATTCAATGATTTTTTTATTTCAATCATGGATTTAAATAAAAAAAATCAACTTGTTTAAAAACTAATGATAAATCGAAAGATAACTGTAAAAATTATAAAAACTTTTCGTATAAAGCTATAAAAAATTATTCCGATTTTTTTCATCAAATAAGTAATTTATTTTTCATCAAATAAGTAATTTATTTTTTATTAAATAAGTACAAAGTTACACTTGCTGTTGTAACGTTTTAATACTTTAATAGATCGAAAAATAATTTTATTTTAAAAGATATAACATATAACATATATCCCTAATATCTATTGATCCTTTAAAATGCTGGACCGATTTTTGTACTTATTTCGTGTGAATCCATTACACTTCTAAATGGCAGAGATTTATATTGAAATTGTGAAGTGCCAGAAATCTGGTATTCGAATACATTTCATTCGCAAACTCTAGTGCAGAACTAGTTTCTTCTGATGTCAGGTTATATTTTTATTTCCGAGGACTAGTCAAAAGGTAAGCTGGAGTCAAGGCTGCTTTATACCTTTTTGAAACAGCTGAATGTTGATCAAGCTAACTTCCGTCTTCTATAATTTATTGTGTGTATTTATTCCCTAATATATTTTTGAATATTAGATGGTACTAATTTCATTTTCGACTTGAGACAGTCATAACTATTTCCAAAAAAAATCCCTTTGATCTAAGCGGCCGATTTTTTTTTTGCGGAAATAGGGGCATCGGCAAAGTTTAGAGAATAAAATATATTGGTGACCGATGTGGAAAAACGACAACGCGCCGCGCCGGCGCCGTACAAATGTTAATATTGTCAATATCGGACAGAGTTGCAAAGATTTAGAAGTTTAGGATAGGACATTAAATAAAAAATTGATTAAAATAAAAAAAAAATCTGATTAAAATCAAAAATCGATTTTTTGGTTTTTGTAAAAAAATCATAATTTTTTTGCACCCTTGCTTTAAAATAAAATTTACTCAAAATTCGTAGATGCACACAGAAAAATATAAAATAAAATAAAAATCCAGATCCATATTAAAAAAATTAAGTTGATAAGAGTAAATAATAATAGATAATTAGCAATAAAATTAGAGTTTTTTAGTTTTAAATGAGTTGTAAGGTTCAGTAAGGCA